AGCCAGTGGTCCAAGGAAAACGGTCTTACCTTAAACCCCTCCAAATACCAAACAGTCAATTTCACCTTTAGGCATAAATCCAACCTAAACAAACTGGTTAGCTCTCACGAGGTGTGCAACATAGATGGCACTGAAATAGAAACCAAGTCGGAAATCAAATACCTAGGCGTCATTCTATCCGCTGATCTTTCCTGGTCGTCTCATATCTTGATGATTTCTAAGAAAATATTCCGTCCCACCTTCTACATCAAGAAGTTAATACATTCTGGAATAACCCAACCCTTACTCCTACGATTCGTTAACTCTTGCATCCTGCCTATTATCCTCTATTGTTCCCCTTTAGTTTTTCCAGAGCTACTGAAGAAAGACTATACCTTATTACGCAGGATGTTAAAGGTTGTCAGCAGGGTAAGCAACGTGCCACTTAAACAAGCTTGCAAATATTCTGGTTGACAGGCACATGGACTCATGTGAAAAGTGGGCCAAATCCATTTTATCTAACTCACACCACCCTCTTCGCTCACAACTCTCCCCTTGCATCTCATCAGGCAAACTCAGAAGCCTATATAGAAAACTATATGCTCGCACCAGCAAGTACAAAAACTCAACCATACCCTACTTAGCTCGTGTTCTGTGCGATAAAGAAAGCATTAGGCGTGACACCTATAACTTATTAAATAGTCAGTAGAACAACTGGACATCGTCTTTCCAACTCATATCATTTATAGGTACAACATTTTCTTTCTTTCTTTTCCTTTTCTCTCTTCTCTCTCTTTCCGTTATGTGCTGCTTTGTTTCTTTCTCTCGCTTACGCCAGTAAATATGACAGCACCTACTTTTCTAACACCTTCAAACACTGTTCAGCTTTGGCTTTGCTACCGATATTCCAATATGCTGTTGTCATAATGAACTGAGATTTCCTTAATCTATGTAGAAATCTATTTATTGATAATGTACTAACTGAATGCAATACTGTAGTAAAAATGCTGAGAATTCCATTCTGTATTACAAGTACTGTTTTGGAATGAAGCTTATTATTATTATTATTATTATTGATAACCCTCTTGAAACAGTTCTAGGCGTAAACAATTTAATGAATGGACAGTATTCACAAAATGTTACAATGGGGGCTGATTGAGGTTGCTTTCTATTCTATGCTGAAGATAGTAACTGAAATGTTGAAAATTCTGCCTCAAAGACTGCTCTAACTTAGGAAACACTTTCATTTAAAAAGCATACTCTTGATACAAGTATATTTCTACATTATGTTACTACACTAAACCATGTTGCATAACGCTCAATGCTAATCTTATACACTCAATGGAATTTGAATCATTCCATATTAGATAAATTTATTTTATATAAAATACAGTGAAACAGTATTAACAGATGTGTGTTATATCAAATAAACATATCTAATATGGAATTGTATTGTACTAACACACTGGCCAAATTCTACTTGGACACGAATTTGAACTGTGACTACAAACCAAAATGATTCGAAATTTCTGTGGATTCGGACCAGTAAGCAGTTTTACGTCGATCTAAATTCCCACTTTCTGTTTCCAACTGTTCAGTATTAAATCTGTTTTGACATAATGTTATTACGTTATGCTTTAATACAACCACTTCCAGTTGGTATTGAGTCACGTCTATTGTGTATGGGTGAGCTGACTATACAACATGGTTGGCCAAACCTCGGTGGATGGAGCTGAGTTGACTCTGTAACCCAGTGGTGGTTGGAAGTCGAGGGTCTGAACCAGTCAGCCGTAGGTGTATTAGTTTAAAGTGATATCCACTCACATTACAAATGTACTCAATATGATTCAGTTGACGCATCTAATACCATACTTCTCATGTTACCTTACTGCACGCATTATAAACCAATTACATACAGTACTGTAGAGACTAAGCAATTCTAATTCAGTCGAGAAATACTCCTTGAGTAGTATCTATTAAAACTGAAATGTAGAATTTCGCTATTCAGTTGAATGTATCCGCATTTCGTTTCGGCGTTGTTCAAGTTAGAGCTGACCACTTACTACTTATTAGCGCATTGCTGGCTTAGTGGTACAACACTGGGTAACCATGCAAGGGATCCGGTATTAGATCCCTGACTGACACATACCTTTACCTCACTTAGCCTGTGATAAGCCCGGTAAAGAGATCTTAAGCTTAATCCTTCTAAATATCAGATTGTTAATTTCACTTTCAGGCACAAGCACGACTTACATGAACTGGTTAGTTCGCAGGGTTCCACTAACATAGATAGCACAGAAGTTGGAACTAAATCAAATGTTAAATACCTCGAACTGTGTATTTCCCCTGATCTTTACTGGTCTTCCCACATCATGTTAGTTTCTAGAATGATATTTCGTTTGACGTTCTACGTAAGGAAGTTAAGACGATCTGGTATCATTCAGTCTCTGCTGCTACAGTTTGTTAACATTTTATACATAAGTCTATGTAAATTAGAGTAAAGCCTGAAGAAGATCTAATTGAAAACAATATTGTCCGCTTATATGTCTTGTTCTAATATTCTTTATTAGTTGGTACATTTTGTCTATAGTAATGTGTTTGTTAATCACCAGGCTCCTAGGAATCCCCTGGCAGTAGTTTTGGCGTTTCCCCTATTTAAAATTTCTACATTATCCCAATCACATTGGTGTCGGTAAATATCGTGCCTTTTCACAGCCGATTTTTCTTCTTGAATTAGGACATGTAGGGTGCACCCACTTTGACCAGTGAAATGTTTATTGTAGTTTATACAATTTTATCTTGTTTTCCTGTTGGGTCTTTTAGTTTGCACAATATTGAATAATTGATTGTCAAGTCAAATGATAAGCTGGGTAACCGACGTCGTAAGCGAAGAAGACGACAAAGAAATAAAAACACCATGGATGTTGAAACACATACAAGCAATAAAGGAGAAGTGAATGCTGATTCTAAAAATGATCCTTTCGCATCACATTCATTGGTGAATATTCAAACAAAACGATGACAATGTCTAAGTAGTATCCATAGAATTTATTATTATTATTTATCTAATCGCAGAAAAACTTGGTACAATTTGGCACCAAGAAAGATGCGCCACACAATAATAATAAAACAACATAGTATAGAAAACGGATAAAGAACTTCATCTGGAAGGAAAACAGTCATGTTTAACAAGTTCAAACAGTATGCGTTAACTATCATCAGAAAGGGAAGAAAGAAGGGAATTGCAACACGTTCGCCATTGATTACGATTCTTGGCCATATCCGATAACGTTTCGAGCCATCGATTCGAGCTATCTCGTGGACCTCAACCAGGGAGTCGTGACGCACCAACCGATGCTAATCTAGCACAAATATCCTTCATCCCACGACGCCACGTCACGGACTGACCACCCCTCCGCCTTTTCCATCCCGTCCCAGGGTTAGCGAACAGAGACCTGTACGAAGCCTCTAGGATGACATTCGCGGCACATGTCCAATCCATAGAATACACGGTCGACCTACACTGCTACAAATGGTGAGTGTACATGTCTTTTATTTTATGTGATTTCTATCATCTTCAAGAACCAAAAATCCAACAATAACCACTTGATTTTGGTAATAACGATATATTGTAAATATTATAAATATAAATGTCTTATTTTGAATCTCTTCAATGTCCTACTTCTACCTTGCATTAAACGCGTCCCTCTATTCTTCTTGAAACGCTTTCATACAGACGTTTGCCAATACTTGTTGTCAGTCAAGTCAACTGTCCGCCTCTTTCCTGTGACCTAGTAAAGTCTGATCATAGAATAATATTTGTTTCACAATCTCATCATGAGATGACATCGGGAAACCTGGGAGTACTGGACAGCTATTCTGTCCATGTTCGGGACTCTTCATCACTTCTAGTGAGAACTCGTGACCAGTGGGATACAGCAGGTCGGACATGAGGACAAACAATCGCCAGCGATAACACTGACTAGTGCCAGTCGCGCTATTTCGTGCGTGGATTCGCAAAAGTTGGAATTCATGCGTTGGCCATTGGACCGGGTCCAAGTGGATTAATGGCGTACGAGCTCGCCTTGTAACCATAAGGTCATTGTTTCCAACCCAAAGATGTAAGCGGTACTTAAATTCAAGCCTTTTTTGGTTTAATAGTAAACATCTGCGCCGCTTTCGTTGGAAATGTTGAAATTTACAATAAATTCGAGACAGCAGCATTTGTAGTGTGTGTAAACAAATGCCTCAAAGGTAGATAGATACTAGACGACTATAAAATAAGTGAGCAGTTTTGAAATCCTGGTCAATGAATTTAAATTCGTGGCAGACTGAATAAAAGTCGGGTGCACAATCTAGTCAGCTACACCACTGCTTATGAGCACAACTAATACAATATTAGTTTCTCATCATATTAAAACCAATCATCTCGAAGATTGACCCTGAATTATTCTCAACTTCATCACAATTTAATGTTTTCTTTCATGGAAGTTCTACTTATTTATTTCTGATATAACGACGTTCATAGATAGCTTCAACAAAAACACCGGCTTTAGTAGGTGGATTTTAAAGCTTTATTAAGTAAACTTGTATGTTGTCTGAAATACTCAAGATTACTAACTGCCTGTTATACTGTATTATCTTCACCTTTTTAGAATTAAATTCGTAATTAAATCAATGTGTGATTCGATTGTGTCTATCTTTCTATACTGTCGCAAATTATTTCAGTTGTTGGCTGAAGATATTCGCAAAGAACGTAATCAACTTATGTAGTGCTTACGGTATATTGTGAACCAAAATTTTTTCCAAGAATAACCATCAGCCCGTGAAATTGCGATATTGATTCTTGATCTGAATGGGAAGAAATACGAAAATATTGTGTATATGCTCGGTTTAATCACACTTATATATTTTATAAAAAAACATTATTATTATTATTAATATGTACATTCATTTTTTCAATAAATTCAAAAATAGCGTCCATCAGAATTATCTTAGTATGTTTTCGATGAACAACCGGGTTAACTTCTTCTAGACCAAACTTTTCTTCTCCCATAACCATATCGGGCTGCTTTTCGTCGTCTTCTCTTTCTGACTACCCGACATACGGGTGTTGTACAAGTTTGGAGGACTGATTCCTCAGGCGCTCTAAATTCACTTGATTGATCAAGTACCTGGGATTCTGAAACCATAACTTGGTCATTTGATTTTCTTATTGTTGTATTGGTTTGATTGGATTCGATTGTTGCTCCTGGTTTATTGCCGGATGCCGGTAAATGAACATTGTGCCACCATCGAAAACATTGTGCTGAACAAAGACGAGGGAATCGCGGGCACGCTGCGCAAACCATGGTGACTCCCGTTTCATAATTCACGCATTTTCTCAGTTTACATGCAATACACTCCGTTGTGTCACTGACTAAACCAGTAGTAGTAGTAGTAACACCAGTTTCAAGCATATATTGAAAAAGGAAGTCTATAGAGATTAACTTGTGTTTATTACTTATTCGTTTCCATGCTTCCTCTTGTGTAGAAGTACTAGTACTGGGTGTAACAGTACCACATGTACTACTCATTTGACTGTTAGGAGGTACTGCATTATTGACTACCTGGTTTGATGGTTCACACAAATGATGATTGTTGTTATTTATTGCCTCTCCATTTTCAATATTTTCTAAAATGTGATAAATATAAAACGAAATTCAATTAAGTTAGAATCTCTTAACATCAACAAGTCCACACTGAATTTACCTTTTAAGTTTTAACTGTGCACTGTCACGCTTATTGATTGCAAGTCACCTGGTCTAAAACAACTGTATGCATCTGAAGCCTGATAGTGAATTCTGCCTGTCAGGAATTAATAACCCCCCACTGCCAAAGTATTTCTGCAACTAAAAGTAAATATTCATTGGACTTTGTTTTCACCAACCAGTTAGTGACTACTCTACATGAGGACATTCGTGTGACCATCATATTCCTTTCTACCATTACTTATTCTGTTTCACTCTTATACTTATCTAAATTCTATTGATTCTCTTCTCTCATTTTCCTGTCTACCTTTGTGTGCTATTTGGAACGTGGCAACTCGAACTGCTGCACTTCGGTGCCAAGTTCTATGTTGAATCCAGCAGCAGCAGAAAATAAGGTACATAGTTTTATTGTGTGACGAGATATCGCAGAAGAAAGTTGTCCTGCAAAAATGATAAATATCTATAAAAACTAACTAGTGAGAAATTATAAGTTATGACAATATGCTATTTAGATCTAAATACTGCTAACGTCACAAGGATATTAGATAGTCGTAGCGAAAGCATGAAGTTGTTCTCCAATTCCAAGTTGTTAGTCGATACACGCCAGTACATTAACTAAAGCTCAACACAGAAAACTACCTCTGACAGGCCATAGTTGACTTTGCATATGTATTACCGTTTGAAGAAGCCCTTCAAAAGTCCAATTATTCACTTGCTTAACTTCTAAAATGTACAAAGTAGCTAGTGAGCTGCGCGGCGTATACTAGCCAAAGTACACGGACTGATCTTACAGAAGCAACAGAATGGAGTTACTCCAGAGAGTGGAAGCAGAAGCTATCCATTTGCTTAATAAAGTGGATGAGTTATAGGCATAAGAGAAGTTCCAGTTGTTGTCGATACAGGTCAACATTACCTAGGAATTCAGTCACAATTTAAGTTATTGCTTTCTTAGACAGAAAAACTATAAGTACGTCTTCACCATTCTTCCGACCTGAAGTAAGTTCCTTTTTTATAGAACGGAATCTCATTTTATTCGTTGGAGACCACTCATTGATTTGCACAAACTCAGTTATCAAAAACAAATAAATATATACGTACAAGGATACTCTGTGTTGGGAATGTGCCATATTCACCAAGGAAAACTGCCTATAACACGAAGTTAGATTCTTTACAGGTTGGATCCCTTCATTCTGATATTTGATAAATTTGCCGGCTTATCGGATAGGAACACCTGTAGCGATAAATGCACACCACCACTTACTGACTGTTTGAGTTTTCCATATGAAACTTTACGACAAAAGTGAGGCAGTTCAAGTTGCCACACTCCATGAGGCACAAAAGTTAGAAAAGAGAAAGGAAATTTACAAAATAATGAATAATTATATCGGAAATAACGAAGACTTAATGGATCTGAGACATTGTAAACATTAACAACGACTCTCAACCATATCACCAACAGTCTTAAGCCATTGGTTCTTTACATCTCGAGAAATACAGCCAGACAGTCTACATCTCATTACGTGACTCAAACCACCGGTCATAGGCGCCAAGCATTGATGTCGAGTTTTGACTGCACCACAACTAACTCTCTTCCAACTTAACCTTAGGTCGGTTAACATTGCTCAACAAGGAAGGTGATGGCCTCAAATACATAACACATGCCCTAGTCATCTCAATCGATCCAGCTTCACAACTTTAGCAGTTGACTTGCCTCTCTCACACCCAACCTCAATATAAATCACCATATTATGCCATTTAACACGGGAGACGGAACGAGAACAATTATGGTCATGCACAGCTGATCTTTTCATATTCTCTTCTTTTAACGGCCCTGTCTCACAGTCTTAAAGAGAGGAAAAACGAACTGCTGAGCAGTACATACTTTTCGTCGATAGCCAAACATCACGTCTACACCAAGGATAACTTAAGCTAGCAAATGTACACGAGTCTTCCGTATCTGTGCTGAGCTTTCGTCAGCAATCACTACATTAATGCTGATGCAACCTCTCAAATATATGTAGTGGTCAACATGCCCAACCACTTTAATTCCTATCGATGCACAACACTCATCTAGAATTATCTTACATTTCACAGGAGCGAATCACATGTCAAACATACTGAGAGTTTTGCTCAACGTGTTCAGAAGACTCCAAATATAGTCACCAGATTTACCTACAAGAACAATATCATTTGCATACTATGTAGACATGAGGCTGCTCCTTGCTACAAGTCGATAAAGTCAATTACGGTTGCATTTGTCAGTACATATACGATGAAATTAAGCAAAAATGGAGACACTGGGCATCCCTGGTCCTCAGATGACAACTTTCCGTATGCTCTTGCACGGCTGTGATTTCTAGTAGAATGCCTTCATTGGTGTAGCATTCCTTCTCGGCACTTCTTTCACCATCAGACATTGCCACAGCATCTTTCAGTCAACAGAATAGAATTTCGCCTTCAGGTGAAGAAATGGAAAGTGTTGGACACCAGCAAGTATGCCTATGTTTATTGAACGCTGAAGATAAGACCAATACATCATCGTCCGAAACTAAAGCCTGCTTCATCCTCCGAGTTTGTTTCTCCTGAGCAACGCTCAATCTACACGAGATTTGTGGACCTAGAGTTTTAGATATTGTTAGTCAAGCCAATTTCCACCACTCTCCTCCAACCTCGATTGTCTCTGGGATAATCAAGAATTTACACCAGTCTAACAGAACTGACTAACTAACCGAGTTTCAACATAGAACTTTGTACAGAAGTGCACCAGTTCAAGTCGCCACAATCCATGCAGCACACAAAGGTAAGGAGAAGAGAAAGAACAGATTGATGTCAGTTAGAGAACCATTGAAAACCAGGGAGTACTGGACAGCTGTTTCATCCTGGTTTAGGAATCATAGGCAGCACGCACCCACTGGGGTTCGACCCAGGACCTTCCGGTTACAAGGGCAAGCTCGTATACCATTCAGCCACTAACGAGCATCAGATTAATTTTCAAACCAAACTCTTGAAAATTAATCGCTAGTGACTTACTACATGACAGGGTTTTGAGGAGTTCCAGTGAGAAGTCGTGACCAGTGAGGTCCATCCAGTCAAGTGTGAGGATGGAGTTCCTGCCGATGACATTGATTGGTGGTCGCGCTAAATCACGAATTGGCAGAAGTTAGAATTCATGGGCCATTGAATCGGGTCCCAGTGACCGAATGGTATACGAGCTTACCTTGTAACCGGAAGGTCCTCGGTTCGAACCCCAGTGAGTGATGACTCCCAAACTAGGATGAAACAACTGTGCAGTACTCCCTGGTTTTCAATGGTTATCTAACTGATATCAATCCTTGGTCAAACTTGTATGAACGAATCTATTCCTTACAAACCAAACTTTTGAGAAAAAAGATTAAAAAGAACCATAAAATGCAGAAATGTACGGGAGAAAGAATAATAACATGGAAAACTATGACGGCTTAGTGGATGTGGAAGATTAAAAAGGGTGGATGCATCTGCGCCATTAAGAGCAATTTTGAGCTATATTCACCAATAGTCCCCAGCTATTGTTTCTCAGCACTCTGACGACTCTAACCAGTCTAACGGGACTGTCTCGGATTCCCACACACTCCTTAATAACTTAGTTAACTCGGTGCTTAGTTCATCACTATCTTTAAACACCTCTGGAGTTATATTAAGTCCCGCTGCTTTTCCGTGTTTCAGACTAGAAATCAATGTATGGATCTGCTCCACAGTCTGTTCAAAGTTTTGAGAACAAGCAACTGATCAAATATTCGTAACTATATCATCTATTCTCATATCTATTTCCTACGATATATGTATATATGCATAAATGCAAAGCTTCAGTGACTCTAAAAGTGAAGTGACTATCAAACTGACCGCGAAAGCTCACGATTACTGAGACATTTCGATTTATTTCGCAGTAACATTTGGCAATTTTATTACGGAATTACACTGTTTAGTATGAATAACTCAAAGCTTAGCGGTGTAAAAGTAACAGCAATCAAAGTCTTAAGCGAACTCCGCTATCTGGATAAGACATAATGATAATTATTCCCAGTAATCAGTGTGTACCGGTATACTTCCACCTGCCTAATAATACAGGACTGCACAAATCACTTCATGATTTCTGAGTAGCTATAAACATCTAGAAATTCGGACAAGAAATGAAAATTATAATTTTTGATATAGCCATATCAAACTACTCAGAAAAACGGAGTTCCGATTAAGTTGATCTTTCGCATAAGTTACCTATCCGGAAAAGTTGTTTAACATCAACACTTCTTAGTATCTATCAAGCAAAATATCAGGATAAGTTCACACAATAACACAGTGATACATGAAACGAAAACAATCTTCAAATTCTCCCGTCTAAATTGAAGCAAAGCTACAATTGTCTTTCGCTTATTTAAGCAAAATTCATGCAAATAAATAAATTTGAATGCCATCCTAATTCAAGAAATTATATCCCGTTTTAGATGTAAGTAAACATATCTATAGGTGTCAATAGAATACTATAGTGTCATGAAAAGTAAGTCTACTATCGTTCACCAGTAAAAAGTGGCTCACATCTCGGAATGCACGTAAAAACTATCAGAAAAACCTGCATTTTACACACTAAGGTTTTGGAACTTACCCAAAAGAACCTAATGAAGGATGAGCTGAGTGATATTGACAATCCGTTGTAATATTAGAATTAGGCGTGTTGAAGGGTGAGCCAATAGAGAATGCCTCCTCTCCAAACATCAGTTGACTAATTTCATGAGGATTTTCCGACCTAGTCATTATTATTTTCTGAACTTTTACATGGACCAGAGAAACACAATCGACCTTACGACTTACCCTAACCAGTCTAACGGAATTGTCTCGGATTCCTACACACTCCTCAATATCTTAGTAAACTCGGTGCATAATTCATCATCACCTTTAAACACCATCGGAGTTATATGACCATGACTAAGTTCTGCTTTTAAGCGTTGCAGATTAGGAACACCTTCTGTAACCTGTGTTGCATTTGCAAGACCGACGTCTACAAATTACATAGTTGGGCAAATTTAGCGTGGCTGCAAACCAGTCAAATCGTTTTACAATATACCCCTTTCTCATCAATTTTATCTTCTCATTATCTTGTTCACTCAGTTTACGTATTTCCTCCTTCCCACAGATATTTTATTATCAATGAGTATTTACTAATTGCTGTGTAAAGTGAACGTTTTTCTGACCTTTCCCAAGATATCACTCCTATATTTCTCCTTGGTCAGCATTATTAGTATATTTCCAGCAATGTGCTGCATACTGCACAGTGGTCATACCTTAGTGAAATCCTGAATAATCGTCACTACATCAAGTTGACACGAAGGCAGACAGCACTTTGGATTAAGAATGTAATTTCACTTGTCTCACTGATTCTAATCTTTATACAGCACATGTAACGGTAAAGATCTCCAGCCTTAAGGCGATGACGGTTAGACGATCGGTCACTATAAATGCTGCTGAAAAAACATTTTTATGCTAAAATGAAGTTAAAGAATACAGTCAGGGGGACGAACGCACCAATGACTTCGGGACTGTCAATTCTGCTAAAATGCTAATTCGGGTCCTTAACTCAGCCATTACGTAATATACTCCCGCCTACCTCTACCGCAGCCTTAACCTAACCCTAGTCTGACTTTAAACTAGCAAAATCAGTTGTTTTCACTGGATTTAGTACTTCTCTTATGAGTATACTGTTATTCAACTGATTTCGCTCCCTGACTGAGATTTCCAAGGCTAATCTTGTGTTTATTCTTCAGTGTCTATTGTTTACTTTCGCCGAGAGAATCACATGACAGCAGCTAAAAGATTTGAGGATCATGACTTATTCTAATTGTAATATAATCCCCCAAGTTGACGAAGTACCAAAATAATATAATATGTGCAGTCACCCAGTCGTCAACAGATAAACACTTTGAGGACGAGGAAGTCAATGTAACTCAAACGCATTACACCTAGTTAACTGGTTTTTTGATTCTAATGAAATAATAAATAGTCTCCCTGTGCTACTTGCTTTCCAAATGACTTGCTGTCTTAGGGTCATTCATACAAATGTAAAGTTTACTCCCAAAAATGTTTTACATACCACTGCCCATAACTTCACTGTTTTGATTTTGATCGTCATGATTTGGTTGTGCATCCATATCTGTGTTCATACTCTATAAAACGTTTACGTATACTTTCTTAACACTTACTGTGCCTGAAAATAAATCATTGATTAGTAACGATAAACATATTACCTTTACTTTTCATTTTTATATCGGCTTCCAAATTTATAAGATGTCCGTATATTAAACCGACAACATGTTGTTGCAGATCGCATGTCATGTCGAATGCACGCCGCAAGTCACGAAAGTGCAAGTCTCCAGCCAAAACATGCGCGTTGTGTATCTGAGGCAAAATTACAAAAGACAGTTGCATATTTACCGTATCAGCGTACAATCTCAGGATGTCTCGTGAATCCCCTGTCATAATTAAATTCCAGCTGCGCGCCTTAAACTGGGATGCAATATCCAATGAAAGATGCTATAGTCAGTTTCAAGGTCATGATGGGTTCCCGCGTCTGCTGGTTATATGTTCTCGTGAATTCCTTTTCCATTGAATTTTAAAGGTTTTCTTGGATGTTTTGTTCATTTTTTAGTGTGTAGGTCAGTTTCTGTCACTGACTGCTACTATTAAGCTTATTTTTAGCCTGAAGTTCCCAGTTATTATTTTGGTAGTTAAGGATTATGGTAAACCTGCAATCATTGAGCCAATTCACGTATTCTATGCTAATATAGTAACATTATTTAATAAGTAAACTCCCTAACTGTTCTCCCATTGTTTGATTGTTTCCGTGAACCGCAACTGTGCGATGGTTTATCAGCATGACCGGCTGTAATTCACCACCTTGCTCTTCTTCCACACATTTCCAGAAGTAGATTACCAGCCTTATTGCAGCTCCTCTAGCCCAGGTTCAGTATCCAGTGCTCCTTTTTAAGAAGGACCAGGGTTATTTCAGTACATACTGGGTTCACTTCAAGTAGATAAAATATTCACTTACCGTAAAAGGGCATGATATCATTGACGCATAGGTTAGATTTTGTTGAGAATTGTTGTAAATTTGGTCTTCTAAGCGTCCCAAGCTTATAATAATGCTGAATTAAATCTCACTAATTCTGAGATAATTCTAACATCCTGCAGTGAGTAAATTCTGAATTTGTTCTGAAATGGATTCTCTAATGGCACAGACTAGAACTCAGTGCCGGTTTTCAGCATGACTGGCACTAATTCAGCACCGTGTTCTTTTTCTATGCATTTTCCGGAGTAGATTAGAACCTGCTGGGTTTGCTTATCAGCGTTGTTCCAGCCCTCACAGGACATATTAGCACGGACTAGCGTTACTTCAGAACGAAAAGACTTTATTTTGCACCCGGCTGCCTTTTTAAACACGACCAACGTTATTCCAGAAGATAGTGGGTGGATAAAATCTTCATTTACCATAAAAAGGCATTATCGAAGAATAGGTTCGGTATAGGCGATAAATCGTATTAGTCACCGTTACTCAGGATATGCTATGAACTACAAATCTTCGGCTGATAAAACGTAGTAAATAAGACACAGATCGGTGTAATTTATAACTGACTTCCAAAGCGCTCTCATCACGAGACAATCAAACAAAGTATTCTTTAAACTGTCACTCCTAGGCATTTAAAGGGAAATGAAGTGTAACAGCAGTTTAGAAATACATGTTTATATTATGAATACATACGGAAACAATAAGGCAATACAAACATTTTGACAAGAGTAGGCGATTAACAGGGGCACGTCGTAATCTTAAAGTTGTTTGTGGTTCATTTACTAGCAAATTGTCTAACCATCTGGTGAACTCTGCTATTTCCCGCAGTGCACCATCCGGATTTCTTTGGTTCAGACGGATGAGACGACATCTTAAACGTTCATGAGCATTTCGAAACGCGTTGTTTAGTTTCGGTGCTAAGCGGACGGCTCTCGGAATATTGTCCGTTGTGTTATATAGATGTGTCCACCTCTCACTGTTTCTCAGAATATCCAAGAGTAATATTTAAGGAAGTGGAACATACCACAGTTTAGACATGAGTTGAAGAAAGCCTCAACGACGTGTGCACATGGCAAACTGTGTGCGGCCCAATATTTCCGTGTTCTTAGCCAGTACCTTCTAATGTTAGCACCAGCCTCAGCGTCTACAATACTTATGAGATTTAGGTAATTCCAAAAACTTTGGCAATATATTCTGATTTGTTAACCTATCTGTCATAACTGCGCGTGTGCGCCATTCAATGCAACCACCTTTTAAAACGTTGGTTTGGGAACTGTTTTCGCTATGCTAGTTAATGGGAATGAAACTTACGAATTTGAATGGTATTATCTTTGGTGTAAATTACTCTGTGCCTCTGCTTGGTTGGTCAGATGCCTCGTAAGTTTTTTAGTCTGGTTTATGGATTCTTACTATCAATGCAGAGTGGCTAAGTCATAGAATTGCCTTTGACGTTTCGGTGAACAGTACCATGCGTAGAGAAAATGAGGTATAGAGATCCAGTAAACAAGGACCAATTTACCACAAGCCAAAATGAAATGGACAGCTGAAAAGCTTTCACACTTCCGTCAAAAAAAAGTGGGGAAAGAAACCACAATACCTCTGCTGAGGCAAGAATCTATCGCATTTGCATCGAAGATACACTGAGTAAAGAGTTGAGGTCCCTCAGAAACACTCTAATTAAGAATGGATAAACAAGAGGGGCTTGAAAGACGTTCCTCACTGCATCTCTACATATGTTCTCGCTCATCAAAAGGTCAAAGACGATATCTCGTTTCTTCTAACATCGATGTGTACTTAGCAATTCAGTTGCTCCTGTCGGTTAAGCATACACGCCATATAACAGAACATTGTCTAGACGTTCACATGAACATCCAGCAACACAACTGTTGAAAAGTGAACATAGATGAGTTCAATTCTGTTGTCCATTATTACTGCTGGTCATGCATCATCATCATCGTCATCATCATCAGAGACTCCATTCAGCGTGATATTTAAAGTAACATTGGGCCGGTCAAGGGGATTTCGCTTACATCTTCTTCATGCAGTCGAAGCTCTTGCCATCCTCAAGGAAAACATCTTGGCTTTGCGCTCAGAAAGGTCTTCTCAGCCTCAGCGTTGACCACACCTCTTGCATAGTGAACTTCATATAGATTCTTCTCAGGACACGCCTTCGATTCTCTGTTTGCTTCTTTCTTATCACCCTTTAATCGATTGGTTGGATTATGCGAGACCATTCGACATTTATTACACATTGCTACTTCTCAAATACTTTCATTTATCTTTGTTACTAAATCACAAAAGATTTCAGATTCAGATTCAGATTTATTGGTTGAGGATAGAAGGCTTGGAGCCTATGTTAATCCTTTTCTAGTAAATTTCTGTGGTTGTCCAAACCCTTCTTGAACGAATCAACTGAGGTTGAAGACACCACTTCTTCTGGGAGTCGGTTCCAAGAGTTTATGACTCGGTGTGAGAACCAGTACTCAACAGCAATATGATTTCTTCTTGGCTTTTGAACTCTCCTGCTATGTCCTCTAAGGTGTTCCGACCTGGTGGGAAGGAAAAGAGAAAATAGGTCAGGTCCGTAGTCATTATTTAAGATTTTAAACATTGTGATTAAATCTCCTCTCTGCCTACGGTATGACAAGGAGAAGAGATTTAAACTGTCTAGTCTTTCCTAGTATGATAAGTTAGTCATGCCATGAATCATACGTGTTGCTTTCCTTTGAACCCTTTCTAGAATAAGTGAGTCCCCTTTTAGACAAGGGCTGGCGGCCTGGATGCAGTTTTCCAGTCTTGACCTCACCAGAGATGTATATAAGGAGGTGAACATATCTCTGATGATTCTAGTGAAGGCTCTACGAATTGCCCATAATGATCTGAAACTACGTGCAGCCACCGCGCGACAGTGTGCTGTAGTTTTTAAGTCGTGGCTAACTATGACACCTAAGTCCAAGTAAGTCTGAACTGATGGAAGTGTAATTCCCTCTAGTTCATAAGAGCTCGTGCTTGCTTGTCCAATGCGCATGGTTGCACATTTTGTCACGTTTATCGCGAGCATCCATTCTATGGACCACTCTGACAATTTGTTGAGGTCCTCTTGCAACGTGGACGTGTCACTGTTGCCCTTCAGCTCTCTCCAAATTTTTAAGTCATCTGCGTATAGGACCATAGGGGAATCGGTGAGCAGAGATAACTCATTGATATACAAAATAAATAGGAGAGGTCCAAGTACCATGCCTTGTGGCACTCCGCTGCGCACTGCTGTCCAAGAGGAGAGTTTCGAGTTGATCCTAACCCTCTGCCTCCTATCTATGAGGAATTCCCTGAGCCAGTTTAGTAAGCTGCCTTTGATACCAAGACTTTCCAACTTCATGAGTAGTCTTTTGTGAGGTACTTTATCAAAGGCTTTGCTGAAGTCTATGAAGACGACGTCAACGGGTCTTCTGTTGTCCCCGGATTTAACCCAGCCTTCTCTTGCAGTCAGAAGATTTGACAGGCATGAGAGGTTCCTTCGGAAGCCATGCTGTGCTCTTGATAATAAGCTTCGATTTTCTAGATATGCCATTATGCTTTTCTTGATGATTCTCTCCAGTGTCTTAATTAAAGTGCTGATGAGACTGATAGGCCTGTAATTTGAAGGGCTTTGTCTTGATCCTCCTTTGTGGATGGGGGTTACTATGGCGTCTTTCCAGTCACGCGGTAACACTCCATTTTGGAGAGAAAGCTTGAAGATCGTGGTCAAAGGGCCGGCTATGTGTGCTGATAACTCCTTGAGAAGCCTTGGGTGAAGATTATCAGGACCCATTGATTTCCCTGCATCTAGTTTCGTTAGGCAGTTGAGCACGATGCCTTAGTCGATGTCAACGGAATCTATCCCATGTTCTTCTGATGCAGCCAGAGCTGATCCTGTAGGCAGTGACGACTCCTGAGTGAAGACTTGGGAGAAGTAGTTTGCCATTGCTTCTGCTTTTTCTTGATCTTCTTCGATTGTATCATTGTCAATAGTCAGGTTTGGGACACCATTGGATGTTTTATTCCTGAAGTTCATGTACGAGAAAATTTTCTTAGGTTGTGCCTTTGCATTTTGAGCCAGGT